TCTTTAACGGGACAATATTAATTGTAAAGACTTGAACAGCAAACCACATCTGCAATTCATATAATATTAAGTACTTGATCATACCGTCATTTCCACGACACCAGGCACCACAATTTCCCATTCACCGGACGAATTTAAATTTTTCTTGTGTTTTTTTTTTAATTTAGCCTCTAATTATTCTTTCAAAGTATATAGAAACAACAGTCATGTTTTCTGATTTTCACTTGAAAATAATGTGGAACTTTCTTCCTTAAGTTTGTGATGTGAGAAAGCGACTTTGACGGGGCTACTTTTCTTAAATTGCTTCTACTACGCGTAAAAATGAGCTTTTTCTCAGTCGAGAGGCACAAACTTTGGGCGTGAGGAAATTGAATATAGGTGTATAGTTTTGGTATACAGTATTCGAATAAGAATCACCGTTTAAATCACTTCGTCGTGAAGGAACACTCGAATCATTCTAGCCGAGTCTGATTTGGCTTGCATGTCGTATGTTAATGTGTTCGTGGTCGTGGCCACTGCCTTGTAATTGTAAATCTGGCAATTCGTAGCATACATTTGAATGTTATTTGTAGGTTAAAAGCTCTTTGGATGCTATTTGTGGCTATAAACCCAAACTCGTAGTCGAACCGTTCACTTGCATTAATCGTTAGTTTAGCCAGGTAGTTCACCGAGTATATTTTTATAGATTTACATTATACATACTGTTCCGCTGGACGGGTTTTTAAAAATCGACGTGGGTTAAACTCAACAATTTATTTCTTAGTAACTCAAATTTACACGACTGATTATTAAACAACGATTATGTACAAAATAATTCCGTCGCAACTTGTCTGTACTCTCGTGGACTTGATTGACTGTAAATAATGATCATTCCCGACGGTGGCCTCTATTTAAACCTAGACGTTCCTCTCGATGGTTCGAGAACGCCGCTTCGAGGGTTTTCTGGGTTGTCCATCGCAACTTCCGCTTCCTGGCTTTTTTTTATATACCAGAATAAACACACACATACTCCTGGACTTGGGGCGGCGACCTTGAATCTGGAAATTGCACGAAGACGGCACGGCGACCCGGGAAGGGAGCGCGTTGACGGTAATGACGCGTGCACGACGGTTTCGACTTTTGACGGTGACAAAAAAAACGCGGTGACGATGACACGGTTTTTCGCTCGGGGGCAGCGATTCGAAAACCGGTACAAAACAGGCAGGCGACCCAAAAAGTACTTACGGCGGTCGGAGGGTCGAACTGCTCACTTCTCACTTGTCAATCACCAAAAAAAAAAACCCAAACAGGCCCAGCACTTCCGCACTCCTGAAGACTTCGGGCAAGAAGCCTCCTCTTCCGCCGCGGCGGCGCGGCGATCGCGAATTTAACCCCCGGCTCTTGCGGTACGCGTCACGGTTTCCGGCCCGCGAAAATTCGCTTCGTTACATAGTAAATGGCGGTTTAAAAGAAAAAAAAAATTTCAAACATAAGGATTATAAAATAAATATTTGACGCTCATATTGATTAATAAATTAGCCATGTTATATGAAAGGGCTTCAAATAAAAAAAAATAAATAAAAAGTGTTAAATTTAATTGATTTAAGCTTAATAGAAATTACGTACAGGAACAATACGATAAATGTAGCATCATATCAAGTGAATGACCCGCCAATAATTCGTTGTTACGGAAATGGTGTAAGTGTATCTATGGTTTTGAGTTATTTTATTTCTGTCAATAACATTTTTTTGGGGTTAATTTTTAATGTAAAAGTGAAAAATGTTTTCTTTTAACAAATACTGCGACATCTACATGCTCCTTGGCGACTGTTTGGGAAATGCTACAAAAACTGTACATCAGTATGCATTACGATATCCAAATCGGCAGCATCCGCAACGGAATGTCTTAGAAAGATTACATCGCCGGATGCGCAACTCTGGGGGCGTATGGAATTTCCTAGACGAGAACTTGGCGGACCAAGAACTGCAAGGACCCCCGAGTCCGAAGAAGCTGCCTTTGAACAATTACAAGAACGACCTGAAGCAAGCATGCGTCAAATCAGCAGAGAATAGGGGATACGGAAAAGTATAGTCCATGAAATCGTTAAAATGGAAAGATTACATCCTTTCCATTACACTGAAGTGCAATGACTTTTCACGTAGAAGAAACTTTTGTAATTGGATTCTTGGGCAAATTTAAATTTAATGCTCATAATAATCATTACTGGGCCCTTGAAAATCCACACGTTAGTAACGTGAAACGACTTCAACATCGATTTGCTGTCAATCTTTGGGCTGGCATAAGTAATTTTTAGATTGTTTGGTCTTATTTTCCGCCACTTTTTAAAATTGTTTAACTAGGCCTTTACAACAAATGATTTACGAACTTCTTCTACGAGCCCTAACAACTATATATTGGGACACAGACAGTTTCTCAAAAAAATCGAGTACATATTTTTTATATCATTCAATTCGTTTGGACTGAATGCAAATTTTGCATGGGCATCTATTTTGACAGAGAGTGAGGTATTTTGCAAATTAATAAATTTTATTAGAGCGCAAAAATTGTCACCTAAATAAAAAATGTGCCATTTTTGCTGACATTTAAATGTCACCCGAGAAAATTTGCTAAGTATACCATGGAAATACAAACGTAGTAGCTGGTAAATGCTGCCATTATTATAGGGATCGTAGCATTTCATACAAGTGTTGGTTTTATTTAGAAAAAAATAGTTAACCGTATGCTAGTTTTAGTAAAAGTTCTGAAAATAATAATTTCGCAGTATTGCAAGAGAAAATCGATAAGAAAAAGTGCAGATTTGTTTCAAATAGCTTGGTCGTCGATGGGAAACATCGTAAAATATTACGCAGACAGAGGTACCATAGGAATAAAAGGTAAAACTCCCGGTAGGCCACCACTTACGAAGCCGCGTGATCAACGATAACTGATGAAATTTTATAAAAGTGGACGACGGAGTACTTCAAGAGAAATTACTACTTGGTGGAATAGCAATAACCAACTAAATTTTTCAAGAGAATATTGTCGCGAATGGATACACAAATCATGCTTTGGTTTTTACATTGTAAACCTTAAATAAAGCTACCTTTGATGGACTTTATTATTTATTTATATTATTTTAGGCTCCAGTAAAACCACAATTAGCAACTGCCCATAAGAAAATCGGTTAATATGGCCAAAATAAAAATTGGAGAAAAGTAATATCTAACTCTGAGTCCAAATTTGATGTCTAGGTGAGATAATAGTCGCAAAAGAGTTATTAAAACAAAAAAGAAATTTTAATATGGATTATCTCAAAAAAACAGTCAAGTTTGCAAGCGTAAAAATGGTTTGGGGGTGCATGTCTATTAGCGGAATTCAAAGACTAGTTAACACTCTATCCTATTGGTACTTATATTTTTCAACAGGATGATGCTTCAAGTTACACACCTACAACACTTATTACAAAGAATAGTAATAATATAAATGTACTGCCCTGACCATCGAATAGCCCAGATCCTAATCTAGTAGAGACGGTATGGCGTGAAAGAAAAAATATTTAGGAAATCATCCGTGACAAGCAATTGTCAATCTTCAACAGGAAATTTAGCGAGTGTGGGATACGATAATAACTCCTGTGTATTGCAGAAAATTAGTTGAAAGTATGATGGAAAAAAAAAAGAATTCCTGCAGTTATTAAGGCAAAAGGAGATGTGACCAGTTACTGATATGCTTTGTCCCAATATTTATGTGCCACAAAATGTTACGTTGTTTTAGAGTTTTATGTCACTGTTTGAGTTAGAAATCAGTATTTATTGTGTTGTAAACATTAACAGCTTTGAAAAACGAATTAATTTTAAAATTGTAATTTTCTAAAATAAATTACATTTTTGTCAAAAAGTTTGGTGATTTTTTTATAAAAATTTATTGTTGTCCCAATATTTAGTTATTAGGGCTCGTACATGCCATAAGAGACCTTCAATGGTTTCAATTAGATGGGGCTTCTGTCCACTTTTCTGCTACAGTGCGCGAATGACTTGGTACTTATTACAAAAATCGATGGATTGGAAGAGAAGGTCTTTTAGATTTCCTTTTATGGGGTCATCAGTCTAAAGAATCTTGTGTATCCTAAAGTACCTGCTACCCAATTGGTAGAATTCACGCTACCGTTGCGACAGAACCCCAGAAATGCCCCAAAGTGTACGCGGACAAAGTTTTTAACATTTATTATAAAATATTACTCTTGGTGTTATATTATTATTAGTATAGGTTTTTTTACATTTTCTTCGTTTCATCTTCGTATCCTTTATTTCTGTTTAATGAATAAAATTGTTTACGAATGTTTTGTGCATCAATAATAATTCAATTAATTTTCAATACCTGCCGCTGTACCTATTGGTATTCACAGTAACGACATTACTTATGCAATTATTGTATCGGAGCGTTCATTTCGTAACATTGTTGCCTATTTTCCTCAACTTAACTTGTTTGTAAAGCGAAAGTAAAAGATGATTTTTTTTTATATTTTTCATCGTTCAATATTGTACTTTCAAGGGAGTTCGCGACATTCCGGACACTTGTATTTTGTAAACTGGTACCATTGGGTTATGTAGCCGGTAAAAGAAATCCTTTTTTTTTCTTTTTTTTTTCGCTTTTTTCTAGCAAGAATTACAAATACGCTACATGTTTGCTGCAAAAAAGAAGACTGCACTAGGTTTATAATAAATAATTTATAATTGATTTAACAAATATATAACGAATGTTTTTTGGCTCCTTATAACTTTAAACCAAATACACAGTTATGGTGCTTGATGCGTTTCCATTCACGAAATTGTATTCACATCGTAATCAATAACTATGGAGATTATTATTAACTGTCCTGGACCCTGGACTACGATATAATTATCTAAAAACATTAAAAAACATTTGCACGAAGAGAACTTCATCTTCATGCTACAAAGCTCGTCAGGAATGTTTTATTACGCAAAAGAATTTAATAAAACACCGACTGGCTAATTATTACCTTTCGTATTCTAGTCCGATGCACAAGTACCCTGTTATATTGACTTCCTCCAGGTCCCCCAAGGCGACGGAAGTATCAGAACACACGCTGTCGCAGGACAATGCTCTCTTTAGCGCGACCGACACACTTTCTACTTCTTCACTCTGAGCTTCCACCTGTTGGGCGGCGGCGACTGACGGGGTCGAAGGGGTCGGCGGCGGCGTCAGACAAACTGGAAATGACGACTGAGAAGCTAAAGTCGCCATATTGACCGAAGAAACCGGTCGGGGTATTGGCGAAATCGATGTCCTCTCTATGGAGTCCTCGCTGCTGAATAAATACGATTCCGTAAATGTTGGGACAAAATAAAAATTCTGAAGCGGAAAAGTTTCTAAAAATAAAGGCAAAAGAAGTGTTCTGGGGCTTACATAAAGCATAGAGCATGCAATATACACACTTTTGGGTTGCTAATGCGAAGAGAAGTCAAAACTGAATACAAAGGGACGAAGTTGGCTGGTTTGAACAAGCGTAACAATAAAAAGCACTCACAAAAATGAACTTACACACTTCAATAAATTTTGTGCGCATTTGGTGCTGTCTGCAGGGAATTGCTTAACGACTAACTACGGGGGACAATGTAATAATGAAGTTAATTAATTAATTAAAAAAAAAGGAAGACAAACACCTCAACTCGGATGAAAAAATGTGAGACCCAACATACTTTATACACATATTTAACAGTCATACGTATTTAATATTTTTGTTTAAAACAAAAATTAAGCTAGGTACGAGAATTTTTAACTCTTTAAAAACACCTTCTTCTGTTAAGAGATATCAAAAAATGGACATTACAGATATCGCACGTTCTTATACCTAGGTATTTGTTGAATATCTCCATATTTGCTTTATCTTTTAAAGACAATTTGCAATTTTGTTTGAAACGAACCCCGCATTTAAGAAAAAATGTTATATGAACTAATAAATCTGTAATTGAAACCTTCAAAACAAAAATCGTTCGTCATTTATTTCCAGTAACGAATAAACACGAAAATCAAAAAATCTAATTCAGATAATACTTAAATAATAATAATACTAGTTCTTTACATATTAATGTCAATGTACACTGATTTCGAAAATTTGTTAATTTACCGAAAATTAAAAAAAAAGGTTTTAAAAGTAGCAGGCATTTCTACTTTGTACAGTTTTATTTGCCACAAAATATACGAGTGTATATTTTGTGGCAAATAAAAGTAAAATAACTAAAGTCACAAACAAATTTCGACGACTACAGATTGTAGCAGGTATTTATGTTATTAAGTATAAAGCACATATTTACTCATTTGATATACACAAGAATCGAGTGAAGCGAGCTAAATTACATACATGATGCTAAAACTATAGTTGTTTTCTTTTTTATATTCATTGAAACAGCAATACAAATATAAGATTAATATAATTATCCAGAATTATAATGACCAATAAATCAAATCTGATGACAATAATTAATTAATCGCCCTTAAACTACAATTATTAAACAAAATCATTTTTAATATAATAAATGTTGCAAAGTCTTCTGTACTTATTTATTAATGTATTTGCAACATTATGTTTCGGTACTTTAATTGGTGAGTACCATCATCAGGTCAAGTTGTTACGGATGTTTACATGTTTGTTATGGATATTGTTTTTGAGGATAACCTAACCGTAACCTGTGGTGAGATTTAGAAGTTATAAAAAAAACGGTGTCAGTTAAGATTTAAAACTTTTTAAAAATTCTGTATTGTCGTTTTTTTGCAAAAACAGCAAATTAAAATTTAAAAGATGTTTTTATAACAACAGAAACATTCCAGGTGAGATCATTACACAGCAGCTTAATTTACGTCATGCATTTTACGAAACAATACATTATTATTATAGTACCTGCTTTGTTTCTTTGGTGCGGGGTTATCTTTGATTGTTATCGGCGGAGGTGACGGTGATGGAACAGGTGCTGGTCGAAGGGGTTGCGGAGGTATCGAACGATCCTCGTCGTAACTGCTCCATTCACCCATAAGGCTTGTTGTGGCAAGTGTTATTTTAAAGTCTCTGTCAACGGAATCGAAACGTCTAAAACTACCAGTCGAATCTAAGTGGATGTCTGAATCCGAGTGAACCTGTAAATTTGTATAAGGTAATTAAAATGGGGTTCTTTTGGCTTCTCTTTCAGATTAAATTACGTTAATGAAGCTGAAAAACTTATGAAGCTAAAAGTTTCTGCTTGAATATACATAGATGGTTAATGATTCCTGCTACATAATTAACGACGCGTATCGTTTGTCGGCGTAATTAATTCTTGTAAGAAGACTAGAAATATATTAAGGGAAGATAATAAAATGAAGTCACAAGAACCTGATGATTTTTGCGTGCGCAACACAGTAATCATGCAAAAATTAAGATTAGAGTCGCAGTATTTGCTATCCCAATCAATACTGTTGTTGCAGTGGAAAACGCAGCATGAGCTTCGTTGCTCGCTTACTGAAAGTTAATAATTTGTTAATATAGTTGTTTTGATCTGTTGGATGTATATACTCTTAAAAGTAATAGTAAAACATATTATAAAGTATCTAGTATTTACAATCAGTTGTAGGCACTGCAGTACATTGAAATATTAACATTTCACGATAAAGCAATCTTAAACGCCATATAATTATGTAGTATATTCACAACCACACTGCAAAGTATCATTTTAAATAATGTTGAGATACTATTTTATAAGTATGACGAATTGACGACTTTCAAAAACATTTTACACTGTAATAAATGTTAATTTTTGTCGAATCAGTATAAGAAATATATCTCATGTTACATTTGCAAAATAATAGATGACATTTTTCAAGTTCGTGACGTTACGAATGAACAGTCCATAAAAATAGGAATCTCGAACTTGGTTTCAGAAGATTCCAGAAAATGATGCGAAATAGGACAAAGCCTCTTCAAAACCTGACGTGAGGAGAAGGATATATGTGTACAAAAACACAGAACATGTTTGTGTTGTTTCAACACTTAAAAAAAAACAAACACGGCGATCCAGATCATGTCAATAACGACGTGCTAAAAAGGCCAAGACATTACCAAAGTTTCAATTAGAATAGTTTTTGATTAATTTCAATTGTGCTTAGAATGAACAAATTTCCGTTAAAAAATTGGTCTGAAGTAGATAGAAGTTTACTGCTCACTGAAGTACAAACAAAGTGGTTCAGAATTTTTTTATAACAGCTATTTACTACCATAAAAAAATGAATCATTTTGCCCGAAAATTGAAAAAAATAAATTAACAATTTTTCATTTAAGTCCTTTTTAAATATTTGTAAAATATAAAATATACAGGGGTTTTATAAAAAGTTTTAACATCCATATGGTATATAGATTTGTTCATCGTTTTTCGGAACATATGAGTTATAGTATTTAACATTACTAGCATGGTAAAAGGGTTTTTACTGGCGGACACCTTCTGGAGCCAGTAAACACCGGTTATCTTGCGTGTATTGTTCAATATTTTATTTGTTTCTCACTTGTAAATAACTATTATAAACTATTAAAAACTCTAAAAGGTCCGATATTTGAAGAAACATCGTATGAGCTTTAGACGTATTGCCTTGGAAACGCACGTCAGCATGGCACTTATTGTGTTGTCTAGTTCTGTCATTTACATTTTTCGATTTATCGTTTTCGATGTATTGAAATGAGTGTGGCGCAAGCTATATTACTGAGGAAGCAGCAATTGTGAGTGAAAATTTGGCAGAATCAACTTTGGTTGTCATTTCAACTTATAATAGTTTAAAATAGCACGAGCAGGGGTGTAAAAATTTTACTGGCTAGCCAGTTAAGTGATATTTTCATGCTGAATACAGTTAATTGATAAATTGATGTTTACAAGTGAGGAACAAATAAAAATTTTAAACATGTCTACCATTACTAAGTAGTGGCAAATCTACAACATTTTTAACATTCACAGGTGGCTGGAGGTAAGAAACATTTATGAAAGCCTTGTACTACTAAGGGAGAAGTAATGCTGGATTAAAAAATACTCCCCTATATATTTTTTACTAGAACCCTTATAGATATTAAAAATAAGGATAGAGTATTATTTAACAACAAAAAAGAAGCGTACAATATTATAACATTCAACCAAAGTTTACTCTATAAAATTTTGTGATGGTGTTATCCAGTTTTTACTTCCTGAAGAAATATTGTAATCGAGTCCATCGGCCGACTGGCTACTTTCACATTTTCTCGGTGTGTCATGACCACAAAAATATAGGTCTCCCGATTCCGTCTGTCTGTTTGTCTGTCTGTCTGTCCGTCATCTGTGTCGATTTTTTGTAGGCAGATAATCTCCGAAAACTTTGTATTCTCATCCCCACCAACAATGTAATGACGTTACCTCAAAATTCTGCATAGCAAATGGGTTTTAAATTGTATAAAACAATATACCCCTCCACGTGGAGTTTATGAATCCGTGTTAAGTTTTTACCTGAGACATCCAGAATTTTGGGAAAGAAATCAAAATTGTATGACAACATTTAGTAATTTAATTTTGAATTCTGCAAAACCGAATGCTTTGAAATCTTGAATATATTTATTTATCCCCCTTAAAAAACTTATGACGAACAAATTCTTTCTAAAATGTGCAAATAAAAAAAAAATATAATGGGTCTGTATTTGAGATTTATCAATGCATGCATATTTTTTAGAATTTCGTATACAGGCTGGCTCAAAAAAATTAATGAATGAGTCAATTTGTTTTATTGATGAAATCAGGAACTGCAAAACCAAGTGCTTTGAAATCTTGCAGACGTTTCAAATTTATCGCAAGCATGGTAAATTTTTAATTAACATATATCTGTTTATCCCTTTGTTTGTACTTGTGTTCTATCAAGATCAAGGCATTTATATTTTTTAGAATTGCTTATACAGGGTGGTTTAAAAAAAATAATGGATGAGTCAATGAATTTTATTGATTAAATCAACAGTGGCTAACTCCATTTTCTCAAAAATTCAGGAATTCTGTACTGTTATTATTAGTATTACACTGTACCTGACTAAAGTGATGTGCATATCCTTGCAAATATATTATGACGTCATCACAAAATTTTGGAAAAAACCCATTTGAAACATACGCGCAGCAGGCTTCTTTACATATACTTTAACATTACATACGTATGTTCATTTTAAGGTATAGGGATTAATAAAAAAATCACGAAATCTATTTTTTTTTATTTTTCGAGGAAGCTGCATATGTTTTACTATACTTCAGGGGAGAGAGAAGTTCTGTCGAAATAACTTTAAATTTTTTTTTTATTTACCATGCCAATAATCATCACGTCTGCTAAAAATTGTAAATACTTTTCGAAAAACCCGCATGCATAAGACTAAAACCTCGTTCACATCCACTTAACATACGTAACAACGTAACATAACAAAAAGACATAACATAGAAACCATACCACCAAACCTATCCGTTCACAATGGCCTTGAAATTCACGTAAACTTATGTTTTTGACATGCGCGTTTCCCTTTTCGTATCTTGTTTATATTAAAACTTCGTCATTCGCGGTCAAACTTGAGGTAAGAAGTTATAATAATGTTGTATCCGTTGATAATTGATTCCGTCATCCATTCTGCTTCTTCTGAATTAAAATGAGTTTAGAGTTTAGAACTTATCTAGGTTAGAAACAGAAATAAGCCGCGTACCACCATATAGCCGAAGGGGGACGAACGAACGCTGATTGGCTGTGCATAGGAAACATGGCATAAGAATACGCTAAAGTTAAAGTTCGGCCATGTTATGTCTTCTATGTTTTTGCTCGATGTGAACGGATACGTAAGATTCAATGCTTTTCAACTTTTTGTACTTAATGTATTTTATGTTATGTTACGTATGCTAAGTGGATGTGAACGAGCTTTTAAGGAAGCTATAAAAGCATATTTTAACAAAGTTTTTTTTATGTAATAGATTTCAGCAAGTTAAAATTGGTAATCATTTGTTTTCTTAATACTTTCAATTTTCCGGTGCATAGCAAGATTCATGTTGTGGACAGATCTACATATTTTCAAATTCTCATTAATGATTTGACATCTACTTTATGCTGACAATCTAAAGTTATTCAAGACAATTCAATCTGTTGATTATGATCCAGAATTTCAATTAGATCTAAATATTCCATGTACACCACCGGTCATAAGTATTTAGGTACCAACGCTGAATGGGAAAAAAAGATTTTTCTGTATTTAAGCACGGGTGTAATTTTTCAAATGAAGAAATCAGCTTCTAATAAAATAATTACATATTACTAATTGTATTTTATTTAATATTTAATTTTTTTTTTTATTTTTGGACATGACAATTTTTTTTTAAATTCGAGGCACCATTGGTGTGATATGTTTTTCGCTTCAACTAATATTTTCATATGATGACAACGTTGCGAATTATTATTATTTTTTTAACTAAAATGACAAAAACCAAAGAAAAATCTTGCAAGCACGCGCCTTGACAGTAGTTAGTAAGCATAAATTACGTATTACGAATAGGGCAATCGCCAGAAGAATGAAGATATGCCCCGCCACAGTCGAATGGACAGTGAGCAATTTACTTCCATTGAATTAAAAAAAAATATATAATTTCATTTTTTGACATTGAAAAGGTCTTGTAGTTATGATTATTTCTGACTCTAAATTTACGTTCAAGGAGCATCTTTTTAATAAATCAATAAACTGTCATCAACTTTTTGTAGGGGATGAATAAAAAAAAATGTCCATTTTCACCAACCCCTAGATTAATGCAGTAATCTTGACGAGAACGGTAAAATTCAGCGATCCCAACAAATACTATTTGTTATGCTAAATGTAAAGTTTCATTATTAGACCATAAACATGACAAATTACGCATTCCGTGTTCTACATTTCAGATATAATTTATTTATGAATATTTGTGATGGGATTATTTTTCTATGCGGTAAAAGCAGATTTTTCGACGCAATCTGCTTTTACTACATCTCATTTCTGACAAAAAGTCGACAGTATTTCTCCTGTGATTTCTAAGGTTTTATAAGCTGAAAATAGTGCTGAAAGCGGTGTTCCGAAATTTCTATAAATACCTACTTAATTAAGATAT